CATTCTCATATTTCTCTTTCTCTTTCTCCGTGTTCTTTCTTTCTCCCCCCCCCCCCCCCCCCCGCTCTCTCTCTCCCTCTCTCTCTTTCCCTCTCTCTATGATTTATCAAATCAACTTAAATCATAAATAAAGTACTAAAGGAGGCGTTTCTTTCACTCATCTTTGTTACTTTATTGACTATATCTCTTCACAACTTAACCTTTTAACATCTCAGCACACGAAGGTCGATATAACTATATACATGTTTTGGTCCCGGAAAATATTCCTTTACTTTTGCTGAAAATCATAATCTGATACATTAACGCTTTTCAAAATGCTAGATCTATTTGCCATGCGTCCTTGTCATGGGGAAAACGAATAAAGCCATATTTGAATCAATAGAACTTGATATAATAGGGCGTTTACAATAAGCATGAATGCTGGTCTCGTATTCAACACTGTGAAATATATGTGATCTATGGATTATTTGGTTCATCACGGACCCCATAGATCATAATAGTCTATAAATATACACTTCCTTGGAAACTACGTGACTGCAATAGTTCCTTTCAAAAGGAATGCCCTTGAGTTACTGTTGTAGTCGCCGAGACCCCATTACCTGAGACCTCAAGTGAATACATTTCTTTATTTGTTATATATTCCCAACTTTTAAGTTCATTTGATTTCATTACAGTTAGGTTTATATTCATAATTCTCAATTTTGTTGAAGATATATATTTAGTAATAATACAGGTTGTACATCACTAAGGTAGCAGGTTCAAAAGGTTAATAACAATAATAATATTTCGCGTTTATAAAGAGCTTGATAGATCGACGGTGTCTCTACGCGCTTTACAAATATATCATTACCCCGATTTTCGGCTTTAGGCTTGCCCGCGCACATTGATACACATTCTCCACTCCCTGGGGAGCATTCCAGCCAGGCGCCATTTTTACAGTCGCTCACAATGCATCCTGCCAGGTACCTATTCACACCTGGGTGGAGAGTGGCAAATGAAGATTAACGTGTTGCCAAATGACGTTATTCCCTGGCTTAGATTTAAACCCAGGACCCTGGGACCACTAGAGCAGAACACCTCTAAAATTGTAAAGCTAACAAATTTGAATATTTCATTCCTAATTGTTTAATTGCACTGCATTTGTTAAGAAAGAAACACACGTTTAAAGAAAAGCCTCATCATCGGTCTATTCGTAACAAATGACGTCTCAAAAATATTGTATATTTTAATTCAGCTAGCTAGCAGAATCTCAAACGCGCTTGAGGCGGTGTATCGTAGGGTTAGTTTGCCCGAGAATGTAAAGTAATCAAGGACCATAATTTGATAAGCTGGACACCAAAAAGGTAGAATCCTTTCCTATGACATCACAGATATGAAAAAGTATATTGGGTTGCCTTGTCTATTATATACAGTTAACGACTCAATTATTCATACCCTTACCAAGTTTTTTAATTTTGTTTAAGGATGTGAAAATTGTATACATCTAAAAGTATTTATCAAAGGCCCTGAAATAACCAGTCCATTTTTCATTCTTGAGTTACGAAAAACACAAAAAACATCAAGTTTGCAAGGAATATGAATAATCTAGTATTTGACTGTACATGACGTATCACATGAAGCACTTTTGACCAATACTAAAACTCCTTAAAGTTTGATATGATATAACAGACGTCAATCGTGATTTTCACCAATTTTTATCATGTCTTTAAGTTTGCCTCTCCTGAGGAATTCAAAACTTCGTTGACACACTTTCGAATAATTTGCAAAATCATTTGCCATAATTGTATCAATCTTCCGGTATTTAGAGTTTCATAGGTCAATTTGATTTGTGTTTACAGTGCCTTGTAATATTTCACCTATTTTTATCATGTTTATAAGTTTTCCTCTTTTGAGCAATTCTAAAATTCGCTGACACACTTTCGAATAATTTGCAAAATCATTTACCATAACGTTATCAATATTCAGGCATTTAAAGTGTTATAGGTCAACTTGATATGTATTTACAAAGTCTTGTGATATTTAACTTCCGCCTCTAACTGTTCATTTTCTAAATGATCAGACCTCGATAAATCTGACCTTTTCCTTTTTTTCTGCATTAAGTCATCAAAATTATATGCACGATCTAATATTTATCGTGCATGGAGAATACCATCTAACGCTATGGAGGATCGCATGTTAGAAGCACAATAATGGTCATATTAAACAAGTATGACTTTTTTCTTATGGAATACACGATTTCTTTTTCAAACTTTAGTTACTTGACGTCATCCATCTTAACATTTGGCAAAAGTTACAAGTAAAAAAAAGGATTAAAAAAAAAAAAATGAAATTACCCATTTCACCGCTGATTTGAGTAATAATGTAGGTCAAGGAACAAACCGTTAGAGCAGAATAGATTTGTATCTTCAAGAAGGCGACGACATCGCGATCGCAAATACTTTCAGAAAATGAATATAAGACAATTCCAATTGCGTTATCCATCCTTTATTGAAATGTACGAACAATTACAATAACATAATTTGAAAGTGATTATTGTGAGATATATACTTACAAGGGGGTACTTAAGTTGCCCTTGAATTTATTTCATGAAAGTCTTTGCAACGTCTTCAACTTGAACCTCATTCTAATATGTCTACGATCCATTCTTAAACTCGATTTAAGACCGAAAATATTCTGGTTTTTATGTAACTAAACAAATATATTAACGCGTAAACACATAATTCAAGCATGCAGCATAGCCATGACGATGTCAGTTTAGGCGAACAGCGGGTGACCGATTTATAATCAGAGCATAATATACAGCGCAGCTACTTTATAGATATACTACACTGCGCTTCGATGAGAACCCAAAATAGTATGCAAGGAAGTATAGGGAGCGAGCGAAAGTATGTATTTTTTTTTTAAATAGTGGAACTTTGCTTTTCTACTGCACTTACATAGCGGTTTACATTGGTGCTAATAATGTGATAATAGTATCTAAATGTTGACGATTACTTTAAAATAGGCAATAGCCCAATATGTAAGAAAGAATTTTGTAAAAAGGAATACGTTTTGTCAATGATATTTTAGATACAAATGGTGATTTTTTTTTCTCTCTGGAAGATTTCAAATATAATATTCAAATATTTTTGTCGTGCATTATGCGGTGCAATTAGAAAAGGGTTTAACAATTGTCCTAGTTTTAACAGGAAGCCACAACTCCTTTTACCAGATACAATGACATTGGTTATGAAACGTATTCAAGAATGTTCACAGATCTATGCAATTGTATTGGAGAAAAGAGAAGGAGAATGTAAAATGTTTCTTAAATGGAAATGCATTTTTTTTTTACTTGAATGAAAGGTCGTGGGAAACATATTGTTGCAGTGGATTTAATTGTACCATTGATATGAGCTTACGATGGTTTCAGTTTAAAGTTGTGCAACGAATATTCTATACCAACGATTTACTGTTTATAATTAATATAGTCCCAAGAAAAGAATGTACATTTTGTCATAAACAGAGTAAAACAGATATGCATCTACTATGTGATTGTACGCATGTTAAACATATTTGAGATCGGTTGGAACACTGGATATATACTGGAACCTGAAATATAATAATATTTTCACTACAAGATAAATTATTTAAGTTAAGAGGTTAAAAAAACTATGAATTGAATTGTATACTAATTGTGGTGCAAGAGATGATGTATACTTGCAAAATAAAGAAAACAATTTGCCCGACTTTTATTATATTAGAATTTCGATTATAAATTATTTCAAAAATGAAAAGTATATTGCAGATTCGAATTGTAGAAATAATAAATTCACAAGAAAATGGTTTCAATTCAGGATTTATTTTATTTTATAAAAGAACATTTTTCATCCCCCCCCCCCCCCCATCATTAGCAGTGGTCACTACAAAGTAATTGTATAGCCCAATAATCAAACTATAATTATGTGCGATTTGTATTGTTTATCCTTTTTTTCTCTCCATTAATGTCACAATACATTACTGAAAATATGTATGTCTTCAGTTTACTCGACAATTCAACAAATATTCGTATCTTGAGTAGTCAATTTTTATTTATATTATAAATGTAAATTACCTTGACTATATGTTTGTTAATCAGTAAAAATAACTGTGGAGGGAAAATTATGAGGGGGGAAATTGTTTTTAGCCCTTTCCAAACTTTGTTGTGCTGAACACGTGAGGGCCCAAATACAAAAATTGTGAAAAGCGGCACGTTCCCCGGTGAACTATAGTTTACGCCACTAACTGTCCATTAGTTGTAGTATTTTACAGATATTACGCATTAATCACGTTAATGACATACACATTTCTACGAAACACTTTTAATAGTGAAAACGGATCTCATTGAAACACGTACTAAAGGAACCTACCTTTAAAGATGCATTTCTTGGAGCGGACACTTTTTTTTTTTTTTTTTTGGGGGGGGGGGGGTCTCAAAATTTCAAAATTTGACATTTTTTTCGTTGGGGGGGGGTAAGGTCACCTTATTTAGGTTAGCCGTGGGTATAATTTTTTTTTTTTTTTTTTTTTTTTTTAATAAAAAAAAAAAAAAAAAAAAAAGGGGGGGGGGGGGGGGTTTTAGGTTTTTTTAGGGGGGTTTACATACATTAAAATACCAAAGGGGGGTTTGAACCCCCAAACCCCCCCCCCCCCCCCTGCGTACGCCCCTGCATGTTTACATAAATTTGATTGCTGTCTTGTTCCATGTTTTCTGTGGCCTATGCTTTAATCCTGAACAGTTTTTTTCAATCCCTTTTGAAACTTCCGATATTTGAACGTATATATCAATGGATTGACACACATATTCACGAAAGCTATGTAGACAGAGGAATAGAATACTGGCCCATTAAGATTAATGGGCCCACCAATGTTATAGTAAAAAAATATGATTTGGTTTGGGGTCCAGCAAATCACGTAGGTTACGCAGACGATCAGAAGAGTTTTGATCACATTTTTTCGCGCCTTTTCTCGAAAGTTGGGTACACCTGGCTCAGCGGTGGTAACTTCTGAACGGTGTTCCGTGGATGTGTTTCCGATGTCATCGACCCGCTGTCGCATCATTTTTCCGATTCGGATGTAGACGTAGGCCATGACGAGGAGAGGGATGAAGAACTCGACGATGACGGTTAAACAGCCGATGAAACCCTGGATGAAGGAGCTTTCGTATTTGACGATGCATCGACCACCTGCGTGCTGGTTTACAACCATCCAGTGGATGTTGTACCCAAAGCCGATGATCCATGGGGCCACAGCCACGCCAGCTGCCCGTCGATAGCTAAATTTGTTGCGGTAAGCGACCGGGTGCATGACGGCGAAGTAGCGCTCGAGGGCGAGCATGGCCAGGTTGTACGTCGACGTGATGATGGTCCCCCAGAAAATGTAGCCCGAGTTCCAGAACGAACAGATGATGTCGGCAGCCAGCTTCTGCTTCGGTACAGCAGGATGCGGGGCGACGAAGGTCACGAAGAGAAATATGGACGTGGTCATGTCGATGACGGATTGGTTGGCGATGAAGAGGTTAGTGATGTTCCGTAGATCCTTGACTGCGATCATTACGACGAGGACGAGGCCGTTGCCGAGAATGCCGATGGACCCCAGAAAGGAATAGATGGTCACCGCGATGAGACGGGACGATCCCGGATTAGTGAGCGGGGGAGTTTCCAAAGTGGCGTTCATGGTGATGCTTCTCTAATTCTTACAGTCTGGATCGATTCCTCTTCAATTTGGATTGACTGTTTTATTGTAAATGTCACCTGAGACGTATGGTTTACGTGCTATTCATAGGATGAGTCAGCTCAAGAATGCCTTTTTATGCGAGGCCGCTAAACTGGCGTGGTAGAGTCTCAAACTCGGGTTACCCGCTTTACAGAGCAGGGCACTTTCCACTGAGATGAAATTCAACCAGGCAAAAAACATCGCAGAGCTTGTTTGAAAGTGAGTAAAGATGTTCTCAATTCAAAACGATCAGGATATAAATAATGATACAGGTTTCATGACGTAGTTCGGGATGAAACATTTATCTCTCGTGAATCCCTAGCAAGAAACTGTTTGCAAACTGAAGAACGGCCGATGTTGCAGAGCTCGATAATCGCGATCATTATATATCAGATTATAAGCTTGACATAGCAGATAAACGTCTCCCGTTGCGATTCAATGCAGTAATTTGATGAAAGATTTAATTGATCGTGAACACGTTCTAGGCCTCGATAATGGCTTATGTTTTCGAGAAGATCACGCAGCGCAGCAGACGACAACTGACAGTATGGTATTATTTGTAATAATAAAGAGTGACACTTTCACCCACGCTTTTGCGCACTGATGCAGACTGACAAGCTACTCCAAAATTATTTGGCCTTCAGGCTGTGTTATGATACAGGAAAAAATGAGAAAATTTATGAGAATTTATGAGAGAGAGAGAGAGAGAGAGAGAGAGGGGGGGGGGGAGAGGGGGAAGTGGCAAAGACAGGAAGGGAGAGGGAGACAGGTAGTCAGACGGACAGAAAGAGAGTGAGAAAGAGAGAGAGATAGAGAGAGCGAAAGAGAGTGAGAAAGATAGTGAGATAGAGAGAAAGATAGATAGAGAGAGAGAGAGAGGGAGAGAGAGAGGGAGAGAGAGAGAGAGAGAGAGAGAGAGAGTTAGAGAGTGAACAAGTGGCGGATGGGATACAGATAGTGAGGGGTTTTAATTGGATAAATGGGGAGACGGGGGAGACTGTAGAAAGAGGGAGGGGTCAGAAAAGGTGCGATGGTGAGAGGGATGGCGAGAGAAAGAGTAAATATTATTGCATAGGAGAAGGAAGACAGATATTGCGTGTGTTTATATGTATGTGTGCGTGAGAGAAAGAGAGAGAGAGAGAGAGAGAGAGAGAGAGAGAGGGGGCGAGGGGGGGGGGGCAGTTGAATGGAATTGAAGCGAATTCATGAAAATTATCCAAACCCAGAAACAAACACGCATGAAATCAAAGATACGTGAGGAGGATGAAAAGGATGAAGGTTAGAGAACATAATCATGAAGCTCAAAAGGCATTAATACAATTTGAAGAGATTCAAATGCTACGGTGTAAAAAAGCGAAAATATGTCAAGAGTTTCTTCCAAAATGGATTACATCCAAACTTCCTAGCGTTTTCGAATAAATCAAGGGTTTTGTCATTAACCGCTTTCTTTTGTCGGTTTTCACGTTTTGTTTCCACTTTTATGGTAGGGATAATGCCTTTCATCAATTTGATTATCTTTTTTGTTTAATCTAGCATTGAATTTTATTTCTGTGGATTTAGTCCCTTTTCAAGATGGAAGTGCGGTCCAACGTCACTCATTCTGAATATTTAAACCACATAAACGATTCAATAAGAAATTTAATTCTGCTAGAAGGGCATGTTTTATCATCTTCTACAATGCTTATCATTTATTCGTTTATTGGAGGAAAAAAAAATTCTTGTAAAAATAACGCTTTTAGATGTTTGATTCCAAAAGGAAATATCCAAGACAAATGTATTGAATTGTTCCACCTATCACCATATGTACGAAGATCGTGAAACTTATCTTAAAGAACGTGGTTGTAAAATATCGTAGTCGGCAAACTAGATTTAATCCCTTTTGAAATGAAACGATTTTGGATTAAATCCATTTGGAACAAGATCGGATTTAGCACCTTTGGGAATTGAGCCCACTGTCCTACTTGTAGCTACTGGCTCCGTCTATATAGAAAACTTCCCCAATCGGTGCCTGTTGGTCCCCCATGATCCTCTTTTCTTATGAGCGGAGCTGAGTTAATGAGATAGCCACCTGTCAGTGACCTCGCTGTGTGGTCTAATCCCTTCTGGCCCAGTAGTGTTGACGGTCTTTAAAAGAAGCGTCATTCCGAACACTTTATTTGATAAAAATGTTTCAACTGCGCTGTTGGTTCTCGAATCGAGTCCTATATGTCGGCGAAGTGAAAATTAAGTATTAAACTACGCAAATTGTTGGCAAGTTGGCTATTAGATGGCGCTGGGTCAAACAACAGTGCGCTAGGGCAGGAGGTTATCAGTTCAGTATCACTTTAAAGACCGTCAATACTACTGGGCCAGAAGGGATTAGACCACACAGCGAGGTCACTGACAGGTGGCTATCTCATTGACTCAGCTTTCAACTAACATAAGAAAAAGAGGATCATGGGGGGCCAACAGGCACCGATTGGGGAAGTTTTCTATATAGAGGAAGCAAGTAGCTACAAGTAGGACAGTGGGGCTTTAAAAGGACTTGGTAACATTGTTCAGATGACAGAAGGTGGTGCTAAGGAAGGGACTTCAAAGATAGTTGCATTATTAATTCACGGCCCACGAACAAAAACCCGTTATGGTGACCGTGCCTTTTCATCGATTGCCCCCGCCCTCTGGCACAAACTCCCACCTATATTTAAAATGCCCCATCCATCGAATCATTCAAAACCCTTCTTAAAACCCACCTTTTTAATCAGTTATAGTTTACTGGAGGCGCACACAAGTATTGTATTGTATTGCATTGTATTAGTAATATTTCATTTTACTTTGTTGCTTTTAAGGTATTAAACATGTTGAATAATTTAAAAGTTAGACAGTAACACCTGTGCGCTTAGAAACATCTGTATAAAGCGCCCTATAAATGTAATTATTATTATTATTATTATTATTATTATTATTATTATTATTATTAAAGATATTCTGAAAGTTTGAGTGAAAACGGACCATTACTAATGATAATATGGGAAAAGCTGATCTGATCGATTCCTTAATTGATTATTATTCTCCCAACTATATTGTTACAATTTAATTACATTTTAGGTGAATGTAAATTGTCACAAAGCAATGAATTGGCTTCATATAGCATTCCAGAAATTTCAGTGTTGAAAGATTCTTAACACCTGTGTTATGTCTTTTTTTTTCATGGAAAAACGTTTGGGAAAATTCCAAAATGGTTTTGGAAAATTTACTGTTAGAGGAAACTTGCACAGTGACGCCTTCATAAAAAATGACATATATCTCTGTGGTTTGAGAATTTTAGGTGAGAGTTCATACAAAAATGACACAATTTTTTCATCAATTTTCGACAATGTTACCGAGTCACTTTACAGAAAACTCTTCATACGATGGATCTACGTCAATGTTAATGTGTTTTTTTAACTGAAATAAATATTGAATTAATTTTATTCAAATGTCGATCTTGTGTCCACTCTTTCTGAATTGATATGGCTCTCAATTTTTCATTTCCCGAGTAACAGTAGATGTGTTTTATTCATCACATGTATTATTCGATTTCGCAAACAATTTGTATTTTAAATTCAATATTGCACCTAGAAGATCATATTCCACGCTGTCTTCCCTGAACCTGACCTTTTCACCTATTCTCAAATGTTGTCTTTATTTCTTTGCTATTATAACTTTCTTGCTTACCTCTCCTTTCTATCTGTCCTTATTTTTTCAATTCAAACAAGAAGACATTAATCACCATGACAGCGATGGTATACAAATGCAGCGTTTCAATACTCTCAATTAATTTTTCATAATGATAGGAGAGGCATGTTATGGAACATGTTGATACTTATGGGTGTCATAAGCGATACCGATACATTTTATGTAGCTCTCTCTTGTTCCTCTCTCTCTCTCTCTCTCTCTCTCTCTCTCTCTCTTTCTTTCTCTCTCTCTTGTTCCTCTCTCTCTCTCTCTCTCTCTCTCTCTCTCTCTCTTTCTGTCTCTCACCTCTCATTCTCTCTCTCTCTCTCCTCTCTCTCTCTCTCTTTCTCTCTCTCTCTCTCTCTCTCTCTCTCTCTCTCTCTCTCAATCACACACAAACTACTGTTTTCCCATGTGCCCCTTTTCCTTTCTAATAAGTGGCTTTTTTCTATGTGATAAGTTACCCCATTAAAAAAAAAATGTTCCACTTCTCATAAATGCCCCTTTTCACCTATGAAATATGTCCCTTTTCATTCTCATGAGTGCCCCTTTTCATCTCTGATGAGTATGCCTCTTTTATTTTGACACATGCCCCTTTTCCTTTCTAATAAATGCTCTTTTTCCTTCTTATAAGTGCCCATTCCCTTTCTCATAATTACCCCCCTTTTCTCTGATAGGTGCCCCGTTTATTTTAACATGTGCCCCTTTTTCTTTTTAACAGAGGCCAATTTTTCCTTCTCGTAAAAGCCCCCTTTTAATATCTGATCGGTGCCCCATTTCTTTTCTTTCACCATATGCACATTTTCTTTTATTCTAAGTGGTCCTTTTCAGTGCGATAAGTGCCCCTTTTTACCGCTGATAATTTCCCTTTTTACAATGTACGTGCCCCTATTCCTTTCTAATAAAGAACCTATCCCCCTTTCCATCTCTTATAAATGCCCCTATCAAAATATGATGGGGTGCTTTTTTGCCGTCGACAGATGCCCATGTCTCATTCTCAATTTCTCATAAGTGTTTTTTTCATCCCTGGTGAGTGCCTCTTTTCAGGTATCAGAAGAGCCCATTTCCTGTTCTGATTTTCACCCTTTATACTTTGACACGTGCCTCCTTTTCCTCTCATCGTGAAACGTGTCCCTCATTTAAAGCGACTACAAGCAATTTCCTCCGGCAAAATAGATGATATAATTATGTTTCTTATCAAAGGTCTTCTTTTTCGCACTACACTGCATCCTCAAAAATCTTACATTTTTTCCTCGCTCGCTCGCAAA